AGCCCTTTAGTGAGGTAAGGTTTTCGATCATTTTGTCTCTATCTTTCAGGTGAGTTTAGTAGTAATGAATATAAGGTAATTGGCTGAAAGATCAAAAGTTTTCAATGTCAGCATAATTCGGAGGACAATCATTTTGACAAGGTTGAAAGGCACAATTTACTTTGGCACCTTCCGATAGATTTGTCAACTTGGTTAAATAAATATAAAGCAGCTCATGGTGCATTGGATAATTTAGAGACATATATTCTACTCTAGATCATCATCAAACGCCTTTGTTGAGTTTTCAGCCCTGTTCCCTATATCGGTCTATGTCTTCACCAATTACTCTTTATTTCAACATTTATCTAATTTTTAGTCTCTTGCAGGTGTCAATGTTTAAAAAGAACCGTGACCATCTACCAAAAGATGTATGCTTTGACATTTACAAAGAGGCAACTCGAGGTAATCCAAATTACTTTCTGACTTATGGAAATGGGAAGGCTGCAGCTCGTATTCAAGATCATCTGCGTCCCCATGGTGCTCACAGATGGCACAACTACATGAAAAACCCAAAGTATGGCTGTGGTTGTATCCATGTTTACTTCACTTTTTGGCTGATGATATAGAGAAGCCATGTGCACATGCTTGTGTAGTCAGGTGTTCCAAACGTTTCGCCTTTGTTTGTGGAGTGCTTATGGGGTCTCTTCTCACGCAACGCATGCATCGTTGGCCGTGTCTTTTGTTTGAAGTTGGATGTCATCTTATCTCGTACTGCTGACGCGCAGTATTATTGGGTGCAATCTGTTGCAGTGAGATTAAATTGGAAGAGGCTGCTGTTCTGCATTACACATATTCAAAGTTTTCGGATTTGACATCAAGGCGTGATCGGTGTGGCTGCAAGCCTACAAAAGAGGCCGTGAAAAGATGCTTCATGTTGGACTTTGACCGAGCAGTAAGTTCCCGCAGTTAACTTTTCGTTCCCACCGGGGGCTTTCATCGCCGGCTCCGAACAACGAGACCAAAATTTTCGGAAATATTAAGAATTTAATTTCCATTTGACTGGCAACTAAAATCATAATTGATGATGGCGAGATTTGTTTACGTGTTGTGAATATGCATATCTTTAACACTTTACTATATTTGCAGGCTTTCATTATTGCATCAACTGTGACAGAGGAGGAAATGCTTCAATGGTAAATGCACTTCGTCATCACTCTATCTTCCAGGACTAATTATCTTGTACCATGGTCAGAATTTACGGGTTCCCCTTATTGGGACGAGGAAAGGAAATCCCCACTCCTCAACTGGGAGGTGCTTTTGGTTTCATTTGCATTAGGAATGAAAATTGGTGGTAAAGGAATTGTTTTGACCTAAGTTGAAAAAATTTACTCTTTCTCAAGTCATTGGATAAATTATGGCTATCCAAAAGAACATATACTTTTGGTAAAGAACATTTACTTTATGTTCTTCATGTGAGGTATGATCATTTATGAGAATAACATTGCTGTGCATTTGGAGCTAGACTACCATCATGCATTAGAATACTATTGCTATCCATTTGGACTTAGACTATCATATCTCTGTGCCAGCACTTACATATTGGAACTCCTTTAACTGAGAGTAGGGACTGTCGTCATTCATCATAAGGTCTTGCATGTATGACAGGATTTTGAGAATGGTACTTTGTGTAATCATTTACATTTCCCTAGATCAGTTCTGAGAAGTAATTTTTGTCATCATGGAGATGCATTTGAATTCTGAAGTTGTCTTGCGTGCATTTCTTTCTTTCTTCTCTACAGGTATCGAGAACAAGTTGTATGGACAAACAAGACTCTGAATCTTAAACTTCTCAGGACAGGCATTTTGACTCGCATTTATGCTCCTATGGTAAGTTCTAATAAGGGCGCATCTTGAAATTGTACAGTAAGCAGGTTTATGGTAGTGAGATACTTTTATGAGATTGAACAAAATCACTTGTAGCGTTTCCTTTCCAACTTTACAGGTTATCGTGCAAGAATTGAGGGAATCTGGTGTTTTCAGCTCCGTAATAGCATCAGCACAGACGACTCTCTCGAAGGACAAGTCTGTGTCCATTGAGAGCAGCAACTCTTCTAGGAAACTTGAATCTGGAGACGTTTCCTCGAGAAAGATAGGTACCTACAGAGAGTCTTAAGCAATCGCAAGAAGAGTATTAGAAATTATTGAGAGCAATATTCACCCTTCAGCAGTCCCCCCGTCATCTCCTCCTGGTGCGGATGACTCTCACTTATTGTCTGATGCATTCAGGATACAGTAACTGTTGCCTCCTTATAACCGGTCTTATTTGAAGAAAATTAAGCACGAGATGTACATTTCGGGATTTCTAGCATATATTATTGACTTGGAGGGATTTTTCTTCTTCTTTATTACCCTATATCGTGCTGATCATTTCTGCATTTGCCCTGTCTTTTTTCTTCTGGTTATCTTGGGTCATTTCCTAGGAATGCCAATCTTTTTATATGGTTTTTCATGAACTAGACATTTTTTTTCCTTTAGGAGGGGGGAGGATTTACTTTTGACCCTCATTTACAATAGACAAACAGTCACTCTAGGAAGATTGTACATCACATTTTCGCTCGTGTTCAAAACCCTAAACTTGGAACTCTCCGGCCCTTGATCCTAATTCCTTTACCAGTAAGGCCGCATATCTACTGGTATAGCAAATCATTTACGGGCTACAAAATGCTCACACATTGTTGTATCTACAGGCCTCTTTACTGCTACCCTGTCGTGGATGTTTATTCCAATGTTCTAAAATTCTTGTCTATGGACCAAATAATTTATCGAAGGGCTTTTACATCCTAAGGTTATTTTATCTGAACTATGACCGAAAACTGCTGAGATTTTTTCACTATGTTTCAGTGCGATGACTTGTCGAGATTGAAAGACCAAATTAAAGCCCTTCAAACCACTATCTAGGGGTGTCAATGGGTCGGGTTGGGTCGGGTCGGCTTTCCATGCTACCCGACCCGACCCAAACCATAAGACTGAACATAAACCCACGCCAGGTCGGGTCAGGTCGGCTTTCCATGCTACCCGACCCAACCCAAACCATAAGACCAAACGTAAACCCAGGCCAGGTCAGGTTTTCAGGTTTTCCTTTTTCTAGGTTCAAGCTAACATTTAATGATGTTACAATTTACTCGAATACTCATTGTGCACTCCCATTTTTCTCTGTAAGATCATAAGAGAAATCCGAGGAATAAGATCACCAACCAACGGAAGAAAAAGGAAAGAAAATTATAGTGCAAATCCCCAACCACATCCCATTTAGTCCCCTGAGGAGTTTTCTTCTTGTTGTTGTCGAATCCGAACAGGTTGCGCCTGAGGACGTATCGGGAAGCGACCGGGATCAACCTCACCATGGCGAAGAACCCCGCGAGGCCGAGGCCGAGGCCGGCGTCGATGAGGATCGACCTCTCAAGCTCCCGATCGATGTCGAAGTGGCGCGCGATCAGGTAGAGGTACGGGAGGTGGCTTTGCGGAAGCGTCCGAGGGAACGGAAGCTCTCCCGCGAGCTGCCATGGCGGAATCTTGCGAGTCGCCCAGCGAAGAGAAGAGAAGGAAAAAGACAAGAGTCTTTGGTTCTTGTGCGACTCTTCTCCTCAACCTCGCTTTGGAGCCACGTCGGATTCACACGCGTCATGGTTCCTAATCATGTTCCGCCACGTGTCTCGACATGTGATCTGGTCACATTCTGCCACGTGTGTGTGCACTTTTTGTTGACGGAAAATTGAAACCGATGATATCCATGTTGAATATTTAAAGTACATCGAGATTTTATCTGTCTTTTTTGCCAAACATAATACATAATTCTTCACAACTGCATTTGATATTTTACAAACTCGTTTCGATGGCATTGTGGAAATAATTTTAACTCGTGATTACGGGCAAAAATCACTATTCGATACATGATTCTCCATCCTGTCTTAATTTAGTAAGTTTATCATCTGAAAAATTCTTGGACATACTTCCAATAACACATACCAATTTGCACATGTAATTATTTGCGCACGCGTGGCGTTGCGAATTTAAAGGAATAACACTAGAAAAAGGTACTTCAAAAGATGTTTTATCTAAATATGTACTAAAAGTTTGTTTAGGACAAATGCAGATGGAGGAAGAACAATAGAAAGGTGTAACAAAAATGCGTTAATTCCACTTGTTAGATATATTCAGTATTTTGGTAAAACTAATATCATCTGTCCATTCGGAGATGGGTGAGTATCTCGATTTCATGCAACCATGCGAAATAGATGCTCACGGGCAGATTCAACTTTCTCAAATCAGCGCTTAACAAGTGGACCACGAATGTTTATATTTACGACACGATTTTAGCTAATGTGATCAGACCTTCTTCATATTGGATTTGGAAATGGAAACTACGCGCGGAACTGACCCTTCGTCAGTTGCTCGCACAAGAATATATGATGGGAATCAACTTGTGTGCCCCTAAAGATGCAGCCCTCTTAAAAGACTAGAACTGTAATCCGAGCTTATTTCTAGCAAATTCAGGATTATCATAGATATCGTCCTATCTCTCTATTTCTACAATTTATGAATGCTCCAATAGATAAATAAAAAATATTTTTAAAACTTTAAAATGGACTATTATCATCATGGATGAATAAAATCTTTACTAAAGCAATTAATGCAGCCGATATTAATTGCAATTTTTATTTTTGTGGAATCGAAGCCAATTCCGACATTCCGTTCATGTCCATGTTTGGCTTCTTAATATGTAAATTCTCGAAATCGTATTATTTAGATCACTTTTTTCTTCTTAGTTTTTTTTTTCTCGTTCCATTTTTTTTGTTTTTTTTTTTTGGAAAATTCATTTTGTCCCCCGAGAAAAGAAGGAAGAGGAAAAGACGAAAAGCAAAACTGAGAAAGGGGAAAAAAGAAAGAAAAAACACACCGCCAAGGACAAAAAACGAAAACGGCTCCGAGCGAGACGTTCCCTTTCCTTTTCCGCCTTTTCCTTCCTTCCTTCCTTCCTGCCTGCACTTTCAATGTCGTTCTCTACATAACGCTTGGCGAGAGAGAGAGAGAGAGAGAGAGAGAGTTGATACAGTCGATGCGCCACCGGTCGTCCGTCTCTCTCGCCGACCTCCTCCAATGGCGGGTCAACCGCCGGCCGCCTCGCGCATCCTCCTCCTCCTCCTCACCGCCCTCCCGTTGACCCTCGCCTGCTTCGCCTTCCTCCTCCAGTGGCGCGGCGGCCTCGACGATCCCGCCACCCGCTGGTCACCCGATCGCCTCGAGTTCCCCGGCATGGGCGGCGACGGCGCCGGCGGCGGGGATTCCAATGTGCCGTCCCGCTCCGGCTCCGGCTCCGATTGCGTCGACGTCCTCGGCCGGAGCCGGACGGCGTCGTTCCCGTACTACCGCGATTGGAAGTTCGATCTCGGATCGGATCTCCGGCCTCAGGTGAGTTCGGTTCTCCGGCGGTTGCGGGGGCGCGCGTTTCCTGATTGAGCGCGCCGTGGTTTTGCTATCGGAGTTCGAAAGCTAGGAGAGACGTGTCGCGCGTGTCTGCGTGAGCGAATGGGTTGATAATCGCGTGTGGACTCTTACTGACATGTGCTTGTGCAATGTGCGAAAAGTGTTGTGACTCACGGCTTGTGAGACACGATTTTCGTGAGACGGAGTTGGATTTTGAGTGAGCTGCTCGAGATGCTATTTGGAATTTCCTTTTTGTTTCGATGTCCAGTTCGTGCGTACTCGGCCGTGTTTGATGTGTGGGCTATTGAATTCAGCTCTCGCTTTTGCATGACCTGATCACAATTAAGAGGCGGTAGCATCTCGATTTTGTTGAATTATTTGGCAATAGGTAGATTAATCACAGCGGGAGAGATGACAAATGTGCACTCTCCAATGGCAGTACCGCCAGAGATGTATGGCATATCTAGGATGACGTAATCGACTCCCGTGTCTATAAATTGAGTCTGTCTCCATCATACCAGGCAAGGATCAGGAGTTAAGGAACTTACTCCATAAGGAATGCAAACTTGTGGTCATGTGATTTGCTGATTATGAAAATAGACCAACCAGTATGGTGTGGGTTTCATTAGGTAGAAGAAAATGTACCGGTATTATGTATGGACATTGTGTAGTGTGTACGAATGGGAGGACAAGTTATCAGACTGGTCAGAGTCTATCAGTTAGATCATTCACTCTGGTGGTAAATTTTTTAAGTTATACTCTATATAAATCGATACAATATATATATATATATATATATATATATATATATATATATATATATATATATATATATATATATAGATAGACTAGTCATTCACAAAGCCTTGAGAAAAGCTGGCATTTTTTTTGCATGAGTTGCATACTATGTCTTGGCATTTCAAGATGACCTTGCACTTTGTGGTAATAGAATAGGGCTATTCGTTTAACAGAGGAAATGCCTTTTCATCTATACTGCAGAGTTGTAGAACCCTGTTGTGTCATCTCATATAACATGAGTACCCAAGCTCTGTCATCTATTCTTTATCCGATATGTTGATTTTTTTATCCTGCCCAACAATGAATTTACGGGAAGATTATCTCAACTGGCAGTTTCACATAAATAAAATCCTATCCTTTTCACACTGCCAGTGGAATGATATTAGCTCATTTGAATTTAGTGAGGGTCATTTCTACTATATTCTCTTAAAATGAGTTTTGCTTCTAGAAATGGCAAGTTTTGAGGCTGATAATTTATTTCATTCCTTTTCTCTGCCTCCCTTCCTCTTCCCACCAATAAAGAAAAGAACTCTCATCTAATTATTCGTGAGATTTCATAAGGTAGAGTAGTTGTTTTGTTTGCTCATAACAGCCTTTTGTTCTATTTCCTGCTAAAGCGATGTACAGGTGACTTAATATGTCTATTGTGTTTTTTCAGCTATGCATTACGACAAGCACTTCTGCTGGCCTAGAACAGACACTACCATGGATATTTTATCATAAGGTTATTGGAGTATCAACTTTTTTCCTTTTCGTGGAAGGAAAGGCCGCCTCACCTGACGTGTCTAAAGTTTTGGAATCCATTCCAGTGAGTTGAAATTATATGTTTTCTCTGAATTATATAGACAGGGGCCCACATGTTCTGCAATGATTTCTCTTGTTTCCCATTAAATTTTGATCCTTGATTTTTTCATAGTTTGCTGAGGATTTCATTTTCAGGGGGTCAAGGTCATATACAGGACGAGAGAATTAGAGGAACAGCAAGCAAAAAGGTTTGTATAATCCGTATCTTAGGAAAGTCATCTATTTATAATAATGTTCTGATGCTTTCTTATTTGAACATTTGACAATACTTCAATCGATTTTGGATATGATATGATGCGGAGATTCTTGACAAAAGTAATTGGGTGTAGAAGTACAATCAACATCTGCAATCATTGATATTCCATGCAAATCTACTGCAACAATGATTGAGCCATTTCCTACGCCGAATTCTTTTCCTTTTTGGGCTAAGTGTCATTTCCTGCTTAAATAGGGTCATCTGAGTGAATTTTGACAAACATGCCAACTTTTTGACCGCGCTAGCTCTCCACAATGTGATCAGTTGAAAAGAACAAGGAAAACTGAAGTTGTCCTATATGTCTGACCAGCAACCATTTTTGCATCTTGCTCGACTCTTCCGATTTTGATGAATTTATTTTGATTTTCGTATATTATGTCATGTTCAGCCGTATCTGGAATGAGACTTGGTTGGCAAGCTTCTTTTACAAGCCATGCAACTATGAGCTATTTGTGAAGCAATCCCTAAATATGGAAATGGCTATTGTCATGGCAAGGGTATGCAAAGTATTTGGTTAATTTTATCGTCCAAAATGTCTTTTTAAATCGTTTAGAAAACATTTGAATCTTTCTTAGCAAGTTAACATCTTCTTTCGATTTTAGGATGCAGGGATGGATTGGATCATCCATCTTGACACTGACGAGCTCATATATCCAGCAGGAGCTCGTGAGTACTCAGTGAGACAGCTGCTGGCTGATGTGCCTGGAAATGTTGATATGGTCATTTTTCCAAATTATGTGAGTGAAACATTTTTAGTATGTGGAAACTGGATGCCCTGTCTACCCTGTAATATCCTAATTATCCACTAATGTGCAATCATCTTATATCAGGAAAGCAGTGTGGAGAGAGATGATGTTAAAGAGCCCTTTAGTGAGGTAAGGTTTTTGATCATTTTGTCATCTATCTTTCAGCTGATTTTAGTAGTAATGAATATAACTTAAGTGGCTGGAAAGATCAAAAGTTTTCAATGTCAGCATAATTCGGAGGACAATCATTTTGACAAAATTAAAAGGCATGATTTACTTTGGAGCCTTCCGATGGATTTGTCAACTTGGTTAAATATAAAGCAGTTCACAGTGCATTGGATAATTTAGAGGCATATATTCTACTCTAGATCATCATCAAACGTCTATGTTGAGTTTTTGGCCCTGTTCCCTATATCAGTCTATGTCTTCACCAATTACTCTTTATTTCAACATTTATCTAATTGTTAATCTCTTACAGGTGTCAATGTTTAAAAAGAACTATGACCATCTAACAAAGGATGTATACTTTGGCAATTACAAAGATGCAACTCGTGGTAATCCAAATTACTTTCTGACTTATGGAAATGGGAAGGCTGCGGCTCGTATTCATGATCATCTTCGTCCCAATGGTGCTCACAGATGGCACAACTACATGAAAACCCCAAAGTATGGCTGTGGTTGTATCCTTGTTTGCTTCACTTTTTGGTTGATGATATAGAGATGCCATGTGTACATGAGTGTGTAGTCAGGTGTTCTAAATTTTTCACCTTTGCTTGTGGAGTGTTTATGGGGTCTCATCTCATGCAATGCGTGCATTGTTGGCCATGTCTTTTGTTTGAAGTTGATGTCATCTCATCTCATACTGCTGACGCGCATATTATTGGGTGCAATCTGTTTGTAGTGAGATTAAATTGGAAGAGGCTGCTGTTCTGCATTACACATATCCAAAATTTTCGGATTTGACATCAAGACGTGATCGGTGTGGCTGCAAGCCTACTAAGGAGGATGTGAAAAGATGCTTCATGTTGGAGTTTGACCGAGCAGTAAGTTCCTACAGTATATTTTCCCTTCCCACTGGGGCTTTCATTGCTGGCTCCTAGCAACCGGACCAAATTTTTCGGAAATATTAAGAATTTAATTTCCATTTGACTGGCAACTAAAATCATAATTGACTATGGCAATATTTGTTTACGCATTGTGAATATGTATATCTTCAACACTTAACTATATTTGCAGGCTTTCATTATTGCATCAACTGCGACGGAGGAGGAAATGCTTCGCTGGTAAATGCACTTCGTCATCACTATTTCTTCCAGGACTTATTATCTTGTACCATGGTCAGAATTCCAGGTCTCTCTGATTGGGACAAGGAAAGGAAATTCCCACTCCTCAACTGGGTGGTGCTTTTGGTTTCATTTGCATTAGGAATGAAAATTTGTGGTAAAGGAGTTGATTTGACCTAAGTTTAAACAATTTACTCTTTCTCAAATCGTTGGATAAATTATGGCTATTAACATTTACTTAAGTACTTCGTGTGGAGTAAGATCATTCATGAGAATAACATTGCTGTGCATTTGGAGCTAGACTATAATCATGCATTAGAATTCTATCGCTATCCATTTGGACTTAGACTATCATATCTCTTTGCCAGCTCTTACATATTGGAACTCCCTTAACTGAGAGTAGAGACAGAGTCATCTTTCCCCATAGGGTCTTGCATGTATGACAGGATTTTGAGAATAGTTCTTTGTGTAATCATTTACATTTCCCTGGATCAATTCTCAGAAGTAATTTTCGTCATCATGGAGATGAACTTGAATTCTTGCGTGCATTTCTTCCTTCTTTTTTTCCCTACAGGTATCGAGAACGAGTTGTATGGACAGACAGGACTGTGAATATTAAACTTCTCAGGAAAGGCATTTTGACTCGCATTAATACTCCTATGGTAAGTTCTAATTAACATGCCTCTTTAAATTATACGGTAAGCAGGTTTATGATAGTGAGATACTTTTATAAGATTGAACAAAATCACTTTTAGCGTTTCCTTTCCAACTTTACAGGTTATCGTGCAAGGATTGAGGGAATCTGGTGTTTTCAGCTCTGTAATAGCATCAGCACAGACGATTCTCTCAAAGGACAAGCTTGTGTCCATTGAGAACAGCAACTCTTCTACGAAACTTGAATCTGGAGAGGTTTCCTCAAGAAAGATAGGTACCAACAGGGAGTCTCAAGCAATGCCAAGAAGAGTATTGGAAAGTACTGAGAGCGATATTCACCCTTCAGCAGTTCCACCATTATCTCCTCCTGGTGCGGGTGACTCTCTCTTGTTGTCTGATGCATTCAGGATACAGTGACTGTTGCCTCCTTATAACCGGTCTTATTTGAAGTAAAGCACGAGATTTACACATCTCTGCCAAAGTGGAATGTGCTGGATGAGAGAGATTTGAGTAGATCTAGCCGGCATTGGACGTTCAGTTCCAGTTTTTGGGTTCTTCCCGATCACTACCCAAGTGTTGATGTACATTTCGGGATTTCGAGCATATAGCATTGACTTTGGAGGAATTCTTCTTTTTTCCACTACATCGGGCTGATCTTTTCTAGATTTGCCCCGTCTTTTTTTCTTCTGGTCATCTTGGGTCCTTTCCCAGGAATGCCATTCTTCTTATATGTTTATTCATGAACTCTTTGACATTTTTTTTTTCCTTTTGTAGGGGGTGGACGGGGAGGATTTACTTTTCACCCCCATTTACTCTATACAAATAGTCCCATTAGGAAGATTTTATATCACATTTCTACTCGTGTTCAAAAGAGTTCACATACCATGGCAAGTTGTTGTATCCGCAGTCCTCTTTGCTGCTGACCTGTCATGGATGTTTATTCCTATGTTCTAGAATTTTTCTCTACGGACGGGTTAATTTATCGAAGAGCTATTGCATCCTGAGGTCATTCTTTCTCTAATTGTGATCGGGAACTGCTGAGATTTTTAACTATATGTTTCAGTGTGATGACTCGTCGAGATTGAAAGACCAAACGGAGGCCCCGTCAAACCGTGCAGAGCTACGTTACTATCCCAGAAGTAGGTACACACTAACTCAGTTGCAGGAAACTCGAATCATCAATTTTGCTCCACGCACTCTATAGTTAATTCCAATAATGAATGTATGTCAATAATAATGTTACAACGAGATAGTTTTACACCATCGAGAATAAAAGACGGCAAATGCCCCCAATACTACCCGGGGGATAAAAAGGAAAAGATCAAATACAAAAGGAAAAGAGGGGGGCAAAGAGGGCATTATTCGGTTAAATGAAAATCAAATCACGGCCTCAAGCAATTGTGGGGGAAAGGGACGAGTAAATTGCATGGTATGTGAAGTTCTAAACAAGAATGCCTTTCCTTATCTGCATCACCTCCTCAATAGCTTGAGCACATCCCCTACCAGATGCAGCGAACCGGTGACAAGTACCTGTATATCCACCAATTAGATAGATAACATTTCCAATGGTCTGATACAAGAGCATGTAAACCACACTATTTTTCACTGAAAGGTAGATATTGTGTATTGCTAAGCACCAACGGCAAAATGAAAGGAAAAAAAATCTCCCTCGGTCTGAATGACGAAAGACTGACCAGATCAAGTGAAAAGACCATATATGCTCTCAAATTCAGAACCTCTTTCGCACTAACAGTAGAAACGCATGTATCTTCCATTTGGTCCCACGAATGGTTTGGCAAGACTCTTCTAGTAGCAACCTATGAACATCATGTTAATGACAGAAGGGTTACCTGAAGGCGTAAAGAAGGGTTTTCCTTAACACAGTCCCTCAGCCACTTTATTGTCAATGGCAAGGAAGGCATCACCTCACTGGAGGCGAAATTCTGATCTGCCGGACTGCCGTGGGAAACGTCTTCATAAAGAAAGTCATGAGGGGGCAAGGAGTCTACACTGTCCGTCCTGGAACTCTTTTCAAGGGAAACATCTGCTCATGTATAAAGAAAATGTTACAAGCTTGAGCAAAACTTGACATTTTCCCATACATGATCAGTAAACTTTATTGTGGTGGCAGCATTTTCAATCGAGTGGCAACTAGCAACATCAACCTTAAACCAGTAGAGGCGGTATCATTTGATTGATTCGATAACAACTATGAACTACCAGATTGCTAATTAATTTATTTGATGTGACAACGCAATGCAAACCCACCTTAATCTCGTAGACCAGTTACAGCTTGCTGTGAACTACAACTAACATTAGCAGAAGCATGTGGAAGAATGAAGCTAATACCAGAATTAGCAATAGCAACAAACTGTAAGGGAAAGAGTTGACATGATATACTTGTTTGATGCCACTTCTGAAAATATAGTGCTGGGGCTAACAAGGATCCCATTCATGGTACTCTACAGGCTGCAGTTCATTTACACTATTTTTTGTAAGTTTAGTTTTTTTCTGTGAGCAGACAAACCTTTCCCGTGTATAATCTTCTCCCAAATCCTTTGGAGGTTATACTGCCACGACAAGTCCCTAGTAGTAAGGATATCTGATGTAATAACTGAAGCACCAGAAGTGACTTTATTATATGATGACATGCTAGGGACAAACAACGCCTTTGAGAAATGGGTCCCTGCACAAGATTAGAACAAAACTCTTAAACAGTCATTTGCAAGCCTCACAAAATGACATATAGTGTGACTAATCTACCAGTAATGTTCAAATCTGAACAACCAACATTGCATCCACGGAAGCAGCAGCAACAGAAACTTGCATCACCTCACTTATGATAAGTGCTTAAGATTATTTCCAGGATAAAGCTGATGCACTAAATTCTACATAAAAATAACATACCCCTTTTCTATTTAACAATTATTATACAAGGGTGTTACTGATGGGTAAGAAGAACACAGCTAACTGGCAAAATATGCTTTGATAAAAGAATGAGGTGAAGTCATTTTGAAGACCCTGATAGCCATCAGACATGAGAAGCATACAACACAAAAGAGAACTGACGCATCAATGCACACATGATAACATTGATATAGGAGGTGTTTGGTTGGGCACTGTGAAGGAGCTTTCAGCCTCCAAAGCCCTTTGGGGGAAATATGGAGCGTTTGGCAAATTATTTTTGGGACTCTTTGGCCAAATGTTGGCCTTCTCAAGGCTGAAAGCTCAAGGCACCCTAGGGGGTGCCTTGAGCTTTCAGCATTCTCGGAATGCTAATACCCAATTAATGAAAATATGTTAGTTGCCTTTTTTGCCCTTAAAATTTGTCTAAAAACCCACTTTTGCCCCTCGTGTGTACTGTTCATCTTCTTCTTCGTGAGGTGGCCGGCGAGGGAGGCCGGCGAGGCGGCCGGCGCCGGATCGGGCCGGCAAGAGGCCGGCGGCCGTCGCCCGAGGCCGGGCGACCCTCGGCGAGGGTGGCGGGACCAAGCGGCACTTTGGGTCGCGCGACCTCGAGCGGCCGGCGCTGGGTCGCGCGACCTCAGGGCGGCCGGCGCTGAGGTATGCGACCTCAGCGGCCGGCGCTGGGTCGCGCGACCTCGGGCGGCCGGCGCTGGGTCGCGCGACCTCGAGGCGGCCGGCGCTGGGTCGCAGCGACCTCGGGCGGCCGGCGCTGGGTCGCAGCGACCTCGGGCGGCCCGGCGCTGGGTCGCGCGACCTCGGCCGGCCGCGCGCTGGGTCGCGCGACCCGGGCGGCGGCGCCTGAGGTCGCGCAACCTCGAGCGGCCGATCCATCGCTCGAGGCGGGCGACGGTCGCTAGCCCAGATCTGGCCCGCCGGCGGTCGCCCGACCTCAGGCGACGGCGGCCGGCGCCAGATCTGGCTCGCCGGCGGCCGGCCAGCGCTGGCTCCGGCGAAGGGTAAATTAGGTTTTTTATTCCCAAAGTCCATTTGCAAAAAAAATTCACCAAACACTATATATTTTGGCCAAAGTAGCTTTACAAAATATTTTTACCAAACACCATTTGCATTTCCCCAATGGGCTTTCACCCAAAGGTATTTGCATTCCCCCAAGTAGCATTTTCAAAGTTGAAACAAACAGGCCCATAGCAGGGAATGAGAATGACAACCATCAAGAGAAAACTATCAATTAGCAAATCAAATGCCTTCATGCACTAAATTATACAGGCTTCGTCAGGATGCGAAAAGAAACAGCTTGCATCATGAAGATTGCATATATCTTTGGAAGTGGAGATACCTGATGAAGCGCATATATTCACAAGTCTTGGGAGCAGAATTTGAGGGTCTCTAACATCCATGCAATTAAATAATAGAATCTACCAAATACAAAACAAGCAAAGTATCAAAAACCATAAATCAAGCAAAACTGAACTTCTTAAATGAGAAAAAAAAATGTGTCTTGTCTTTGCCAAAAGATACCTCATAGAAGCAATTCAAAATAATTACATCTCAAAAGAAACTCAATCTAAGTAACTTTACCTGCTTTGACGTCTTATTAGATGACTTCAGGCAATCCTTTTCATAATGGAGGCAACCATTTCCCCACAATGATTTCATACTGTGAACATCGACAGAAGTAGATGGTGGTGACGACAATGATGATAATTTTTGGTTTGCTTTAGTGGCACCAGAGAACCATCCGGCACAAGCCTCCATGCTCTCAGGACTATGAGCTCCATCTAAGTAGAAAGTCAACTCTCCCGAATTTTCTGAAGTATCTGCTGAGCCATTATCGTGGACAATCTGCGCCCTTCCAGAAAGGCGTGCTGTTGAAAGACCTCTAACGAATGCAGGAGGCAGTTCTAATCCAGCGGCCTCCTCATCCTGTTTCTCACACCAGCAGATTGAGATGTCAGAATTAAGTGGTCGCCAAATTCAGATAACCATGATATACTGATAACACAAAATTAATCAGATAGGAGCACCATTCCCTTAAGAGAAAATAAATAATGGATATGCACTGACATTAGAGTACTTTGCTGCTCAATCATAAATTAAGATTGAGAAGTACAATGCCATTATGCATAAGGTTTGTCATCCAAGTATACTCTCATCACTTCAACCCAAATTGTCGAACCATTTATACACAAAATAGGAGCTTAAGTCTGCAGGTTTGTCCATTTAAGTTCTGTTTAAAATTCAAGAGAGGACCATGAGAATACAATGCAACCTTTCTGAGTAGTTTTTCCCAGTTTCCGGTTCTCTGAAGCCAGCATTTGCAGAGTGAAACAGCAAGCCCAGCGTTAACAAACTGGTGATCACCAGACAGGCCAAGTGTTTCTCTGCCCCACCTTTGAATATCAAGTGGTACAGCTACTTGCAATGGAACCTATAAGAAAAGGCTTGCAGGCTTCAGATACAACCAGCAGAAGTTCAAGGTTTCCGTGTGTTGACAGTAACTACATCACCTTCAATAAGTCACAACCACTAATGGCAATAATGTGCTTATAAATGAGACAAGAAACCATATGTATAATAGCCATCTGAAATATTTCAGTCTCTCCTGAGTCCTTATAACTGTGAAGTATTCAAGGATGACATAAAGAGAAGACATGCTCTGTACATATCAAATGCAGTGAGCTAGATTTGCACTCATTGAATCTTATAATCCCACAAAGGGCCAAACAGCCGATAAGAGAAGTACTGCTTGATATTGAGATTTAGAATGTCATAAGATCTCCAACTTCCATACATAATATTTACAAATTTAACAGCCCATTAATTTGTTATAGATGCATCAACAAATAAAAACAGAAAGATCCCCTACCCCATCAGTATTCAAAATAGCCGCACAAGAACCAAACAGCTTTAAGGTTATCTTATCCATCCAAAGTCAATAGGTCTAATCTGGTATATTCCTTCAGGATTTAATTCAGGTTCAAGATTTCCGCTCGTAAATTGCATGCACTACTGCATGGGCCCAATCTGGGTTTCATATTACAACTTTTGTTGCCCTTCTTTCTCTACTGATCGCCTCACAAAATTTTTCTTTCAAATCAAGAAGATTTATACCTAAGGACAAACAGATGATTTATTCTCTGAGGTGAGTAACGATGAATGCAGAGGATAATTAATATAAATACAAAGCAACGGCCAGGAAACTGTTCATCTATTAAAGGATATTATCTGACTCAGTGCCATGTAAAAGAATTTTAAGAGAGGGAAGGGTAAGATGCTCTCTCGCTTGATTCTGGTTTTAGAGTACTCCTAACCCCAATAACAAGCCATGCCTACTTCTAAAAGTTTACGCGATCATAAATAATGTCTATCTGCGGAAGTATATCCAAACTACTCGCACATTCAATAAGATGGAGAATAACAGCATAAGTGCCAAAACTTGTATACAGCGCACATTTTAGTATCAAAAGTTTCAGTTGAATCACTGAAGTGCCAAACTTTTTGAAAAACGATTACTTAAGTGTCAACTCCGGTGAGTTTGGCCAGAAATCCGACGTGTCATTTTTTTATTAATTTCTGAAGCCGATGTGACCCGCCGAAGGTTTAGTCAGCATGTACAGTCAGCATGTCCACTTCAAAACAACGTAGTTTAGCTTATTCACCCTATTTCGGTTTAATTTTATTTTTTTTCTTTTTTCCTTTCCTTTCTTTTTTTTCCTTTTCTTTCTTTTTTCCTTTCTTTTCTTTTTTTCCTTTTCTTATCTTCTTCTCTTTGTTTCGCCGGTGGCTTGCCCGGCTACCGGCAAAGCCTGGGAAGGGCTAGGCGAGGGTCGCCCTCGCCCGATCTGGTGAAGGCCACCCTCACCGGCCCAGATCTGAGTGAGGTTGGCGTCAACAGCTGCCGATGAGGGATGACCTTGCCAGATCTGGGCAAGGCCAGTCTTGCCTCAGCAAGGCGACCCTCGCCATGGGCGAAGCCACCCTCGAAAGCCACAAGCGAGGGCCGGCCTCGCCTGGGCGACAGGTCCCGCGGTTCTTGGTCGCGAGACCAACCTGATGACGCTTCCCCCATTGCCGCCGCCGCCGACCAAGGTCATTTCCTCCGCTTCAGCCGCGAGAGCACGCCGGAGTCATCGGATTGGTCTCGCGACCGAGAATAACGAGACCCATTGCCCAGGCTAGGCCGGCCCTCGCCTGTGGCTTTCGAGGGCGGCCTCGCCCAGGGCAAGGGTCGCCTCGCCGAGGCGAGGCCTCGCCCGGATACAGCGGCGGCCTCGCTGTTGCCGGTGAGGGTGGCCCTCGCCCGTCGGGCAAGGGCGACCCTCGCCCAGCCCTTCCCGGGCTTAGCCAGTGGCCGGCCGGCCACCGGCGAAACAAAAAGAAGATCAGAAAAGGAAAAAAAAGAAAATAAAGGAAAAAAGAAAGAAAAGGAAAAAAGAAAAAATCAGAAAAAATATTTAAAAAAATTAAAATATACACATGGAAATGCCACATAGACTGATTTTTTTTTTAAAAAAACCCAACTTAGATTAAAATTTTAATTATAAAAGTCACGTATTAATTTGGCCGGAATTTCTCGCCGTTGGCACTTAAGTGATCATTTTTTCTCCGATTTGGCATGTAAGTGATCCGGCGAAAACTTTTGGCACTAAAGTGAGCGCCGTACACAAGTTTTGGCACTTCTAGTATTCTTCTCCCTTCGATAAGAACTCTCAACTCAAATGTTGGAAAATGCCATGATTACCATTTCAACTCCATCTGCTTCACAACAAAAATCAATCGTCCCATTTAATTAACAAGTAGGTAGGTTTATAATCGATAACTTAAGATTGGCAACAAAACGTAGCAAGTGCTACTAAACTTTAGGAAAAAGCAAAGGTAGTTTAACTACCACTTGAGAAATGACCTGATCAATGTTGACATAAATGATCAGTCTATCAGAATTAAGAGGCAAAACAATTACCTTTAGTTCACCAGCTGTCTCCTCAAGAGCATCCATTGCCTCAGATGGTTGGGGAACGGTGAATGCTGGAATTTGAGGCTTCAGGAGCAAGGAAGTCACAAAATTCAAAATAGATACTCAAATTTCAAACTACATATGTTGATTTGATGATAAAGGAAATGCTGCAATAATTAATCTTTGTTAAATGACAATGCTATGCTGAATTTGAGTCCGCTATGCAAGAGCCTTACACCTTGAAAATCCCAGCCTTATGAGAAGCAATCTGCCCTAGGGTGTTCCCTGCATAGCACAAGACAGGTTAAGCTTGATTTGATGACCCTCCTATTGAACATGATTGACATAGGCACATAAAAAACCAATTAAGCAGTGATACTGATGGTAGGGGCTTATGAATTAAAACAAATTCAAGTTGTCAAGATTAGACACACCCAAAGCTTCCATGTGATCCATCCCAAGGGAAGCAATGCCACAAACAACAGGCTCTTTTATCTGCACAATAGCACCAAAAATAGTGACCATTGGCTGCCTTATCAGTTTCACATTTAAGTTTGTCCAAGGTAGAGGAGACGGAGATATTGGTATAAGGTTTCTTGGGGGCATTCTTTCTGTAATTAAATAAAAGGAAACATACATGAACAGACAATAGCTCAAAATTAGCTGAGGTGAATATACCACATTCGTTGAGTCCTTTTTCCCTCCAAGACCCACCTCAATTATTGCCACATCAACCTATTGAAAAAACAATTCTGTCACGTGGTACTTACAAAAATCCTTGGCAAAAACTGATTAACCAAGAGATACATTGACATTTAAATTCACCCACAGATAACCAAAAGAGGATAATGTGCTGGAACATGTTAAACTGCGCCAACTATTAAACTTCACAGAAAGACTGCCTAAGTATCAAAAAACCAATGACTGTATTTCTATAGCAAAGGAAAAGGTGGTAACTAACTTCCCCTACTTATAATCTCGGAAGAGCTACATAATTGCAGAACATGGAAAGGTTAGGAAATGTCAAAAACCAAAATCCTCCTTCAAATGTAAAATTTTGAATATATTTTCATCTAGAATTTGTGTACTTTTCTCCATTAAATACAAGGTCATGAACTCTCGGATTGTCAGTTTGACGAAAACCACATCCTGGCAAAGAAGCTATAGAAAAATGAAAGCAACTCTTCCAAACTGGTCTTAATAGATGGAGTAACAGATAACGCTGCCTCTGGCATAAACAAACTGCCTAGCAGGATCTTTATGATTGGAACAACATATAACTAAAGGAAAAGTATGTAGGCTCTTTGGAAAGTGTTTCCCATTTAAGATTCGGAAGCATTGAGCCAAATTCATGTGTTAGCTCAGGCTGCCTCAGAACCTTTTATCTGCTTTCCTATCAATCTCTAGAAAGTCTTGTTAAACTTAGATACAAAACCCAAATAAGCCTTTATCATGTCAAATTGCAATATGAACCAGGAAAACATTACTTCAGCACACCAATCAATCAACTCTAACATAAGTGCCAACATTATTCCGAGACCTATCTTCTGCCATCATCCTGTCGGCAGGCCAAGACAGACCCTAATGAAATGAAGTAAAGAGATCAAAGCAACTCTTGCTGCAACCGATTCAAACAAAGAGGCGTCATTAGTTATGAAAATTTGGGAGCAAGAAACAAATCACGACAAACCTGTTCAGATAAGAACATTTTAAAAGCCAGTATCGTGAGAAATTGGAATAACGGTGGCATTGGCAGATCTTCTGAAACATTTTCCTGTAAATCCAAATGTCTGAATTAAAAGTACAGTCTATGTAAATCACCTACCCAAATAAAGTATCAGATTACTCGAGCACATTCATAAATCATTGAGATGATAATTTAAGCACAAAGCCACGAATTCAAGAGCAAGTGCTGTCAGTCAAATTCAAAAATCACTTTTCCACATTTCATGTCTTCATCTATTTTCTTATAGTAAAAGTAACTGAACCTTCGATTTTAAAGAGAAACCGATATTTGAGAAGCTTCCAGAAAAGAAGATGCAGCTTTTGAGAAGAATGAGGTAATCGATGCTTTAACGTATTCCAATGTATTAATTTGGCTGTCAAAGCCGAAAAAGGCAGAGACTTAATCAAGGAATGTGGTTGTTTATGCCACAAACAGGAAGCTCCCAGTTCCTCATCCAAAATATAAAACCCATCGTGATCATTACTTGTGCCATTCAAGAGCCAAAGTTGGTATAACTAAACAATTTCAGAAAGGGACAATATATTACCTTCAGTTGACTCCAGCAATCCCAAAAATATAGCAGGAACTTCTCCTCAGACACATCCAACCTAAACAAAGTTCATTCAAACAGAAACAATAGATGTTGAACTTGCATTTAAATTCATTTCCTTAAATAACTTCACTCATAAACTGGAATGAACAATCTGATCCTAGAAATTACAATTTGAGTTCACTATTATAATCGGTGCAATCATATTTAAGTACAATTCAGACTCAGTTTCTGCTCTTAAATGAAAGCCCGTCGGACGTCGATCTACACTTTGGCAAATAGACTGATGATTAGAAGAATTATCAGCATGGGGCATATGTCAACAGTCACCATCCACGTACAAAGCTCTCATATGGCAGAATCATTAGCTACCTCGTGTGTGAGTTGCAGAAAAGTCCATGGGGTTCAATAATGACAATAAGTTATTGTCACTCATAAATTCGCTTTACCCCATAAAGTCCAAATTCATCTCCTCCCTGGTTATAAAAATTAATAGATGAAAGGCCGTGTGACATTAGCCTTTGGCCAAGTAGCTATCTTGAAAATTCTTGAATTTCAAGGGGGGGGAGCGTATTCGTATCACATTTAATCAGTCAATTGACTCAGAAACAAAATTAATTTATCTATTTCTTGATAGCTGGGGTAAACTACAAAAATGAGTTGTCATCATAGTGCCGGCATACTGACTGCAAATGGATATCTCATTTCCACCATTTTTAAAGTAAAGAAAATATGGAGCCATCAGCTATTCAACATCAAACTTCACCCATAATGATTCATCATGTTAATAACACACCATACGACACCAGAGAAAAAGGTTTACTAATCTATAGGCTATAATGAAATCACAAGTCAAAGAATGTACTGACCCATCCAACCGGAACCTTTCCCTCACATCAATTAGGTGAGGAGATGTGAACAGTCCAGTCCTAAATCCACACTCGCGCAAAATAGCCTCACAGAAAGCACATGTCGAACCCTGCAATAAAAATCAGAAAATGGATGTAGGAAGACAGGAAACACCGTCAAGAATGCGAAATTTGTTGTCACTGTTATTCTGAAGAAACTTTTACATTATATTACGATAATATGAAAAGTAGACCATAGAGACCTGTCACTCAGTATTAGACAAAGAGTCATTCATCTGCAGCTACGCCATCTAGGATATTTCGATTTGTAATTTCTACTTTTTCACTGACTAAGATATAATGCAGAGGCAACTGTTGATTTCTACTGAAGATATCGACTATAACTTCCGTTTAAAACACCTGTAATAGGAGATAAGAGGATCTTTACAGGTTGAATTAACATCGGTCGAGGTAGGCAATGAGCTCAATAGAGACGGTAAAACAGAAGAATTTAACATTACCTTCCCTTTAGTTCCAGCAACATGTATTATTTTAAGCCCAGCAATCTTTTCCTCCAACCCAAGTATCTACGAAGATAGCCAGGCAAATGATTTAGTAGACAAAGCCCATGCTTTCATTATGTTGACTATTAAAGTCCAGACGAGCTTAAGAAAAGCTCATACTGCATATAAGGGGCAAGAAGAATAGCAAGAGCATGCATGCTTAGAAAAGACATGCTACATAAATAACATGCAAAGGCAATGGATGATTAGAAAAAAATAGTTCTTACTGCATTATGGCATTGCTTGACTTGGTCAAAAGTTGATGCGGTAGTATGTGAAAAGACTTTCACTTGTAAATGCCAGACCTCAAAATGCATGGAGTTGATAGAAAGAGATGTTTCTACTCTATTTAATCATGACTGCTAAGTTCCAATGTAAAACCATGAAGTCACTCCATAATGCATTCATATCTGAATGACCATGGGATTATACCCTGAGATAGATTGACATCCTTTCCAGTTTCCCAAACTTCCCAGCAACAGGTGTTCGGTCTCCACGATTCTGACGAGTTATGAGTGAGGAAAGTGCTTCCATTGCAGCTTCATAAGAAGATGAAAGAGGCAGGTCTTGACAATTGCCCTTAAAAGTTAGCTCATTCTCCATTTTCTCTACTACTTGCAGTGACATTTTCGTGTATCTAGATCCTGAAGCAATAAGGTGAAATACGGTACCAGAGTCAGTCAAAGATTGATTTTCTAAATGCTTGCTAATACTTCCCATTTATTAATATGACCACATACTTTGAGTAGTCTCCACAAATAAAGCTCTTTCACATTATGAAGACACCTATCCTATATAATTCTATCAAATTGACGAAAGCAGGAAAGAAAAGAAATAGATGAAAGCGGAATATAATCTTCAATCAAATTCTATAGGTGCCACCATGACACCTGAGTGGACACATAGCAGGAAGCAACTCGAGAATGAGGCAGGACTACAAGGTCTGAAGAGAGAGAGAGAGAGAGAGAGAGCGAAATGAACTAGCCAGAAACAAGATGCATTTCCAAGAATTCTCATCCAAAAAAAAGCAATGAAATCAATCAAAGCAGTACTTGGACAAATTACAGTCACGTGCTTGCAGGAGCATGCCCAAATCACACAGATGGAGAATCCCTAATCAGGTTACCTGACATGAAAGACCTCACAGAAATTTTATGAGTGCTGAAATACTATTGGAGGCGTTGCAGGGAAGCCACGACACTTTGGGTTGGCCAGCGACCGTTTGGTTCCTCTGTACCTACTATTCAACATCTCTCTCCTTTCCAACTGCCCCATTTGATCATTTCAGAGATGCGATCCCCCCATCTTAAAAGTATTACGAGTTAATTCAGAAAACTTTCACCATTCAGATTGCTAGAAACTGTCAGTATAATATAATACCCAAAATGCTTGCAAACCCAATATCAAAGCAATACAGAGACGAGCAGGGTACAAGACAACGCTAAAGTTGCAGTCCAACAGTATGATCTCCATCACCAGTCTTCCCTCAACCCCTTCTACCTATCCCCAGAAAAGAAAGCAAACACAAACCAACTTCTGCTAGAGGTTGCTGGAATTCTACGACTCTGAATTCCTTACTCAACTAGAAGTACTTGGAAAACACAGCTTTAATACTTATTTCCTTGTCATTATAAACTTCATGTATCTAGTTAGGACAATCAAGGACTTGCTTCAAAGTAGAGCTTACTTGGTACTTTGAGATTCTGAGAGAGACCAGATGCCGGAAAGTCAGACACGCGCCATGTCGCTTTTCCTGATAATGGATGGCTCTCCCTACGGAAGTGTGAAGAACCAAGTATTCCACACTTCAGGTAAACCTCTGTATGCACGAGCATTAGAGAATGCCAACCCTGCCAAAGGAAATTAATAAGAAGAATTAATTATATAAACTATGGAGGCAGTTTGGATATGAACGAGCTAAATTTGACTTTCAGAACATAAAGGAGATACATGGATATGGAAAAACTAACCACACCAATCTCGAAGACTGCATCGTTTATCAAATTCCAAGATCCAACAACCAACACAGGCGCAGAAAAAAATCCTCCTTTCAAAATTAATCTTAACCCACTCAACCACACAGAGCATCAAGCATGGCTCTCATCGCAACAAAAGTCAAAACCTTTTTCCTTCCTCTCCTCCTCTACTTCTTCTACACGCCAATCCCGACACAACCCTTCATCAACCCCAATCCACCAAACTTCCAAACCCCCCAAAAAAGCAAACACCCATGACTTGTTTAATGAAACAGCAGCACATAGAAGGACACCCAGAACACATTCCCATCGAGACGCGTGTCCGCCGTCAACCTCTCCAGTCAAAACAGTACATAAAAAAAAAAAGAGAAAGAAGGGTGAGAGAGAGAGAGAGGAGGAGGAGGACGGGGGGGGAGCATTGGATTGACTCACTCGTGAAGCATTATCTCGGAAGCTTGGTTTCCAAACTCCGGAGCGCCACCTGTTGATATGGGCCTTGTCCCCTCCTCCTTCTGCTCCTGCTGCTCCAAGCTTCGTGGCTCGAACTGCCTCCCCATATATATACGGCCGACGATGATGTGAGAAGCCGACGGGATTCGCGCGGACGCGGGTTAATTGGTTCGAGTACAATTCACGCGACCAGGGCTGACCTCTAGGGTTATCGGGAGGAGGACCCCACCCCATCTCGCTTTGTTTAGCACCAAACGTCGTTGTCTCCTCCTCCTCCTCCTCCTCCTCCATGAAATCCCTCCAATGGAATTGGCCGTCGTCCCGTGTTTTACTGTTTTTCCTGGCCGTTGAACATAATGAATTCTCCTGGCTGGTGCTTGTTTCTCCCGGTCAAATTCACCGAAGCTTCTTTCTTTTCTTTTCTTTTCTTTTTTTTTCCCCCTCTTTCCGCATTTTCCATAATCGTTCGGCGGTGGTAACTGGGGCATGAAATGTGCGTTTCTTTCGCGAAGAACTCAAATTTTAGAAAATATTCTTTCGAAAAATAATTAGTCGCGCCGTTTAAAAAAATCAGTCAGTAGAAAATTTTTTCATCGTAACGAGAATTTATAACTAACTGCTGTTTTCGTGTGGGTGATGAAATTTTTTTTTTCGTTCAATGATTTTTGTAAGCGATGCAAATAATTATTTTTCATTTTGAATTTTTCGCGAAATAAATGCAACCTAAGGTAGCCGAATAATAACTATTACGTTAGGAGCGAGTTCCGAGGCAGAAATAGATTTTTACATTTACTGGTTCCTAGATGAGTTTACGAGAAAAAACCTGTTTGATAATGACAAAAATTTCTATTTCTAGAACTGACTAAACCCGTTTGATAACAAAGACAAAATTTCTATTTCCCGAAATAAAACCCGTTTGATAAACAATGAGAAAATTCTATTTCCGGGAACAAAATCCATTTTTTTAGAAATGGAATAAAAAATCCAAAAAATTCATAAAAATCTTTAAAAAAATTCAAAAAATCCCAAAAAATGGAAAAATTCCAGAAAAAATCATCAAAATGTAGAGAAAATAAAAAAAATTTAGATTTCAGGAAAATAGGAAATTTGTTGAATTTTTCAAAAAAAATCAAGAAATCAAAAATTTCAAAACTTCATGAATTGCTTAGAATACTGTGGCCACCCACTTTTAGTGAAATTAAAATTTTTTAGGTGCTTAAAAAAATCAAAATTTTCAAAACTTCACAGAATAGTTTAGAATACATGTGGCCACCCACTTTGAGTGAAATTTAAATTTTTTAAGGTGCCCAAAAAAATTCAAAAACTCAAAAATTTCAAAAATTTACAGAATGGCTTAGAATACGTGTGTGGCCACCACTTTGAGTGAAATTTTAATTTTGGAGGTGAAAAAAAAAGCAAAAAATCAAAAATTTCAAAACTTCATAGAATGACTTAGAATACATGTGGCCATCCACTTTGAGTGAAATTTAAATTTTTTTAGGTGAAAAAAAACATAAAAAATCAAAAATTTCAAAACTTCACAGAATGACTTACAATACCTCTAGCTACCTACTTTGAGTAAAATTTAATTTTTTTTAGGTGCCCAAATGGTATTTTTTATTTTTTTTATTTTTTTTGGTTCCTAAAGAAAATTAAATTTCACTCAAAGTGGATGGCCACATGTATTCTAAGCCATTCTGTGAAGTTTTGAAAATTTTTCTTTTTTGCTTATTTTTTTTTTACACCTAAAAAAAATTAAATTTCACTCAAAGTGGGTGGCCACAGGTATTCTAAGTAATTATGTGAAGTTTTTTATTTTTTTATTTTTTTTGGCACCTAAAAAAATTTAAATTTCGCTTAAAGTGGATGGCCACAGGTATTCTAAGCCATTTTGTGAAGTTTTGAAATTTTTTTTTATTTTTTTCGGCACCTAAAAAAATAAAATTTCGCTCAAAGTGGGTGGCGCGGGTATTTTAAGCCATTACGTAAAGTTTTGAAATTTTTACTTTTTTTTTTTTTTATTTTTTTGGCATATAAAAAATTTAAATTTCACTCAAAGTGGGTGGCGCGGGTATTTTAAAGCTATTCCGTGAAGTTTTGAAATTTTTTTTTTTAATTTTTTTCGGCACCTAAAAAATTTAAATTTACTCGGTGGATGGCCACAAGTATTCTAAGCCGATTTCGTGAAGTTTTGAAATTTTTGATTTTTGCTTTTTTTATTTTTTGGCACCTAAAAAAATAAAATTTCGCTCAAATTGGGTGTACAGGTATTCTAAGATATTCGTGAAGTTTTTAAATTTTAGAATTTTTTATTTTTTTTTGGCAACTAAAAAAATTAAATTTTGCTCAAAGTGGGTGGCCATAGGTTTTCTAAACCATTTTGTGAAATTTTGAAATTTTTTATTTTTATTTATTTATTTTTATTTTTTTCGGTACCTAAAAAAATTTAAATTTCACTGAAAGTGGGTAGTCACAGATTCTAAACCATTCTGTTAAGTTTTGAAATTTTTGATTTTTTACTTTTTTTTCTCACCTCAAAGATCGTGACTTCCATATGAATATGTGTGTTGAAGAAAATGAATTCCTCAGAAATGGTTCTCACTTTTGTTCCAGAAATGAAAAATCAACTTTTTTTTGGTTCTCATTTCTGGTTTCAGAATTAGTTTTGGAAGCAAACTTGTCCCGGAAATAGAAAAATGAAATTGCGTTACCAAACGGGTTTCTGGTCCAAAACTGATTTTGGGAACAAAAAATCAGTTCTGGACAGAACCAGAATGGTTTTCATGCAGCACCTAAAATTCCTTATATTTCGCAAAAATCAAATCTTTTAAAAATATTCTTTTTTTAAAAATGATCACTTATATCTCTTACAAAAATGAGTAAACGAAAAATATTTTCGTGAGACATAAATTTTGTCCATAATGAAGATGTTTTTTCATTAATTAATTATCATTTTTAAGAAATCACTCGTTTTTCGCGAAACAAATTGAGCCTTAAGATTAAACTTCATTTTCTCCTATCATTAGTAAAGAGCCTATATTTTAAATCCTCTGGTGTGGCTATTTATCCTTACTAATAACAATTTGACGATATTTATCCTTACTAACAACAATTTGCCGATTACATATCATCGCACAACCATTTTTTTTATGGAGTAATTGCCCTTTCAACACTCCAGTGTACTTTGGTTCTCCGTTGATGGAGTCGAAGAAACGAGGCGCAGAGAACTCGTAGGTCTCATCGATCATCGTCATTGTCGGTGTCGTCACCGCAGCACCCCTCGGATCATCCGCCACCGCCATCTGGAATTGATGGAATTCGTCCGATTATTGAAAGTGAAATTTCGCAGTAATTGGAGATCCGGGCTCATTTCAGTTGGCCTAACATTAGAGCAGAGTCTAGTCTGGGGCGAATTGAATGGTGCCGGACCACTCTGGTCGGAGACATCGGAACTCGGTGTTGTTTCAAGTCTTCCGGACGAGCCATGGAATTCCTGTGACCCGTTCGAAATTCGGTGAGTTTACTTGATTTCTTACAAAATCCAAATGGCTAATACCACGAAAAAATTTAGAGGTTAGCGGTTTCCAGGTTCTCTTTTTTTCTTTTTTAGTTAAACAAAACGAAAATAAACGCAACAATGCTGAACGAGCTTGTCATTTACCCAAAGAGAATATAAAAGACTAGTTTTCCTGGCTTTACGATTCAAATAAATACAATTAAAGTGATAAATTATTGGGTGAATCGATATGCAACCGAATTCACAAGGGACTGGCATTTCGATTAAGACAATATCCAGGACCACAATCAAAATGGAAGGAAAGAAAGATGAGGTTTTGGTCTTCAAACATTCATAAAATTTTGTTCCGAATTCTGACCACCTGGGATCAAAAGAAACAATAATCATAGTTAATAACTTAATAAATAGTTTTAAATTTAAAATTGTTTGCAAGTGCAACTACAACTTTTTCTTTTCTCCTCCCACCACCCATTATCACCACGGTTATAATTATGCAACCGTCAAACTTAAGATATTTCCCGAAAGAGTAAATGACGGAAACAATCCCAAAGCAAAGTAATGAGCATGCGAAATGGTGGGTACTTCAAAACCATCTAAACCAACTTTGGAAAATGTTCTACATGCCCCTCCAAACCATATAGCTACGTTCCCAAACGCAAGTGTTTGCAATAAACGAAAATTGAATATCAACCTCTCAGTAAATCGGAAAATCATTCTTCTCCTATTGATGAGAAAGACATCCGATCAAACCATGCACGTGCAGTGATGGGCCACAATTATTTTGCTAGACCTGTTAGAGTCGATCATTTAAAGAAGATATTTGCCCTTTTCCTCACATGGTAATGGTCCAGCTCCTTATAGAGACAAAAAAAAAGAAAAAAACTAAACTAAACTAAACTAAACTTCCAACCACTAATCTAAGTAGATAAGAATTCGAGAGCTGAGAAGTGAGAAGTAGTAAGAAAATTAGAAATTTTAGATTTAGATTTAGGGTTCCCGGTTCGGTTCCTATAGAACCTGGAACCGACAGCTCCTAAAAAAGTGGAACCGGGAACCGGAACCTCCCTCCCTAGAATCGAGAACTGAATCGGACTCATCGATCAAATTCTCCGGTTCCCGGTTTTACCTTGGAACCGTGCTCACCCCTACGAAAAACCCCAAACCGGTACACTTATAACAAATTTACCCCAAACTAATTTTTTTTATCATTAAAAATCCAAACCGGTACATTTGTGACAAATTTACCTTTCGTTAGTTTTCGTTAAATTGGATTAATACCACGAAAAATCACAAACTGATACACATGTGACGAACAAAGGTAAACCTCAAATTGATACACCCGTCAACTGCCACGTGCCATCCAACTTAGCAATTCGATGATAAAAATTTAACGGAAACTAACGGATGGTAAATTTGTCACATGTGTATCAGTTTGGAATTTTTGGTAGTCAAAAAATTAATCTGGGATAAATTTATCATAAGGGTACCGGTTTAAGATTTTTCGTGGTATTATCCCAAGTTTTGGATGTCCATCCATCGACAGGGCTGGGTTCTCCCCGAACAGGTTTCTTCCATAGGCAAAGCAAGAAATGATGCTCGCTCCCTAGTCTCTGGATGGCTTCGACAGATCCGGCACAAGGGGTCATGTACCAACTTTCCTACCTAACAGGTTGTTCCTTACCTTAGGAGGAAGGGGAGTTTCGACATAAGCTCCAGACAAAAGATCTTAATTTTTTGGGGGATGGCATACGCCAAATTCTGTTCCATAGCTTCAGGGGAAGCTAAAAAGAAGTTGATGTTTGA